ACCGAAAGGTTATTGGTGTAGATCGTGCAGAGCTACAGGAGAGGAGGTTCGATACCTTACCGAAGAAATTCCGGAACTTTTACGAAATGAGTTAAATTATGAGAAAGATTTACGTAATAAAACAGGAGGAATAAAAGAAAAGTGTGTAATCAATGAAATAGACAATTTTCACATTGCTATAAATCAGAATTTTGCGAGGGACTTCTGAGTCAATTAATATCAAAAATCCTGACGGTTTTAATATTTTTTGAAAAAAAATTCCTCTTTCTAAAGTAAACGAGAGAATAGAAAAGTTTGACTACTGTGGTATTGAAAACTCGAACAAACCTTGGCCAATAAGTATTGAAGTAGCTGTTAAAGTTCATGTATCAATATTAGGTACACACACAAAAATAAAAATAAAACAATCGGCATCACAAATGCTTTGTCTTGCTGGCTATTTGGGTCTTATGATAGGAGACTTAATACCAGATAATAATAAATATTGGGAACTGTACATTATTTTGCGAAAAATAATCGGAATCGTTACATCGCCAAGAGTAGTTGAACCAGAAACGTATCTACTCAAAAACTACATTAAGAAGCACCATGAGTTATATATCAAGCTATTTAAATATTTAAAGCCTAAGTTCCACTTTGCTACTCACATTCCAAGATTGTTACTTGAAATTGGGCCAGTAATTCATTTTTGGGGCATGCCTTTCGAAAGGAAAGACACAGAACTCAAGGACATTATAACTAACATAAATTCACGACGTAATCTTCCTACGTCAATTTGTACTAGAATGCAATTATCATTAGGTTTCAAAAAAGAAACATATGTTGACAATCAACAAGATTAAATCGAAGATGAAAACCATCTTCTAACTTATAAAAAAGAGATGGACCTAAAAGTGAAGCCAATCTATTCGGCCTCTGATTGGTCGACTGACTTTTGACTCGATTCGAAACGTAATAAAGTGACATCTACGGTCATAATAGCAACTTCTTCGAAACTGACTGAAAGATGTACGCGCGCGAAGCGCGCCTGAAAGTTGCTAACCTCAAAACACAAATAAAAAAATTGATACGCGCGGAGCGCGTCTTAAACGTCTAGTCTTATAGTAAATGATAAAGTTTTCCAAATAGGAACAATTTTTTTCAATGGCATCGACGAAGAAGACGAAATAGCACAATTTTCCAAGCTCAGTAATATTGTAAAATTAGAGGACAAATTGTACCTTATAGTACAAAATTTAAAAACCATAAGGTTCGATGATTTTTATCATGCTTACATAATAGCTAGTGAGCCTATATCTGAAAAATATGTGGAAGCAAATTTTTTTTCCGATTTTAAGATACCCTGCGTTCATGCCAAGAAAAATAACAAATTACATGTATCTACAACATACGATATGTAAATCGAACCACTAGCTGTAAAATATAAAATAATAGGCTGTCTTTTTCATAAAATAAAAATATTTTACAATATTTGTGTGAATTAATATCGTTTCGTTTTATTAGATTATTTAATTCTTCGTTTTAAACCCTTGAAAGTAAGTTGAAGAATTTGTATATACTTTTGATTGAATGCAATACGCATAGCACTATCACTATATACGTAACATGCTTTATTGAATTTTTATTTATTTATTATGCTTCATTTATATATGCGGCATTGCGTTGCCGGTCATTTTCCCGAATCCATTTTCTCGAATGCAAATTTCCCGAATCAGTTTTACCGAAAACCTCTTTCCCGATCATACATTTTTCCGAATATGTTTTACCCGAACATACATTTTCACGAATATATTTTTCCCGAATATAAATTTTCCCGAACATACATTTTCTCTAATTAGTAAACACAGATTATGTTTATTTATTGTGCCTACATCACTACTGTAACGTATGATGTATCACTATTATAACGTACTCAGTAGTATAAATTGACGCGTATTCGACATCGGGTAACGATAACCGCTAAAAATTTGCTAAAACGGCAGATACTCCCGTCAATTTAGGTACTAAATTAATAATTCGTGGCTTCGTTTATTTGCGTTCAAAAGTTGTGAAAGGTAGGACATATTGGGACTGCAATAGGCTTCGAAGTCGAGAGTGTAGAGCTCGAGCTATTACGATTTCTGTACATGGAACGGACAACGTCGAGATACTTCAAGGTCCGGAACTATCATCACATACGCACCCTCCCGATCGAGAAGATTGCGAGGCTGAGACGATAAAAAATAGGTATGATTGTATTATATTATAGAAGTTTATTATATCTACAGTAGAAGTGTGTTATATCTAGATTAAAAAGAAAAGTTGAAGAGCATCCAGAAGAGCCTCCGTCTCGAATCCTTCGAACAGAGCTCCATGATTTACACGACGCTGTTCGAAGCCGTTTACCTGACAGGGAGAACCTCTATCTAACGCTACGATCAATCATATTTGTCACATGCATACACCAAGTTCCTTTATCTACAACGTCAACTTATGTATATTTTTGTATAATCAACCTTCAATTGTATATTATGTATAATCAACCTTTGTAAATTCACGTAACTCGACGTGATATCAATTATTGTTCCAATATCAACACATGTGCTTCTTGTCTAACTTTATATTCTTCGTTCTCGTGCTTGCTTACTGCTTACGTCAATCCTATGTTAATCACAAACTTTGTACTCTATATCGCCGTTGCTTACGAGTAAAAACACACATCATCGAAGCGCCGTGAAAAAAAACACACCTCTTTGGATACCATGAAAAAAAACACACCTCATCGGAACGCTGCGAAAAAAAACACACCTCATCGGAGCGCTGCGAAAAAAAACACACCTCATCGGAGCGCTGCGAAAAAAAACACACCTCATCGGAGCGCTGCGAAAAAAAACACACCTCATCGGAGCGCTGCGAAAAAAAACACACCTCATCGGAGCGCTGCGAAAAAAAACACACCTCATCGGAGCGCTGCGAAAAAAAACACACCTCATAGAATGCCATGAAAAAAAACACAGCACATTGGATGCCGCGAAAAAAAACACAGCTCATTGGATGCCGCGAAAAAAAACACAGCTCACTGGATGCCGCGAAAAAAAAACACACCGAATCGAAATTTGTTGCGTTTTTATTCTGCTGTGTTTTTTTTCGCGGCATCCAATGAGCTGTGTTTTTTTTCGCGGCATCCAATGAGCTGTGTTTTTTTTCACGGCATCCAATGTGCTGTGTTTTTTTTCATGGCATTCAATGAGGTGTGTTTTTTTTCGTGGCGCTCCGATGAGGTGTGTTTTTTTTCACAGCATTCAATGAGCTGTGTTTTTTCGGGGCATTTTATTAGTATGTTTTTTTTCGTAGCGTTTTTCACTGTGTTTTTACTCGTAAGCAACGGCGATATTTTGTGTAAGAATCTTAAACTATTATTGTTTATATGTTATCGTAAATAAAGGAAGTGTAAATACCTCGAACGAGGTCTTAATACACTATAATAAAAAAAAAAAAAAAAACATGCATACACAGAGCGCAGCTTCACGATCCGACGTTCGTAGTCTGAGGCTATAACCAGTCGGAATTGCCGCGCGCTCACACAGATCATAGCCTCACGATCCGACGTACGCAGTCTGAGGCTACGACTCGTCGTAGTCTCCGCACGTGTACATTGAACGTAGCATCTCGCTACGCTTCTCGTAATCTCACACTTCGTCATAGCGGAATCTGTGAGTTCGAAAAGTAATCGTAGCCGTGGGTTACGTACACGCGCAGACCATACTTACGATTTTTCTTTCGGTGTAGCGATAAAGCAAGCAGATTGCATAATATTTTTAAAAAAATCCTGTTTTTTTTTGACCCTGAAAATTGGAGGATATTTGTAGAATTACTCATATACACGCTTGCAACACATAATTATGTAGCGACAGACGTTTAGAGAAAAAGCAAGACGGTAAAACGACAGTATCACAGGCACGGGAATTACGCGTCCGCGCCGTAGAGAGCGTCACGACACAAGTCGATATTCTTCTAATGAATTATTTTGCATCTTTCAAATATCGTTACATATTATAAAATAATATATATAACAAAGGAAATATTATTTTTCTTTGTATATGTTGTACTTTTTCGAAATCTAACTACCGCATATAACATGGGATTGTTGTATCACTGAACCCAACTTTATTCATAAAACAGACCAAGCGTATTTAGCAATCACGGTCTAAAATAAAAAATGATTCTCCATTTACGCTTTGCCGGGCAGGTATCAAGTTAAGGCACAGCGTTTCCTACCGAATTAATCATTAAAAATAAATTGATAGACGAACGCGTTATAATAAAATGTGATATAAAATTAAGCCCTCGGTGGATGACAGGCAGGTCCCAAAAGGTGGTGACCCATTGATCAAAATTGGAGTAAAACTATAATTGTTCGCTCTCTTGTACACCAAATAACGATGATGTGAACAGAGATCTCAGTAGCTCAGCTGGTTAGAGCACTCACCGGCTAAAGGCGAAGTGTCACCGGTTCAACTCCGGTCCGAGCTCATATTTTTCGTTCGATGTACAATAATTAAATTAAGATTGAATAAGGAAATCATCGTTTTGATACTCCTATTCAATCAGGTATAATATTAATATAATAATATAATAGGCCCGTTTAAAAAATTGTGACCCATGCCTCATAGGACTTTTTAAATTTTAAGTTATAAATATAAAAACTTAAGGTATGATTGAAAGAGAGATTGAAGAAAATAGGGAAAATTAGAAATCATTGTCAGATGAAAGGCTAATTGATCGAGAATGATAAAAGGTTAAATAGAAATAGGGGATTAGCACGTAAAGCGGTCAGATATGGCCGATAATATCTTCAAAAATAGAAATTACAAAAGAGAATTGAAAATAGAGCAGTTAATTAAAAAATAATAATTTAAGGGGGACTGAATTGGACATTTTTTAAAATTATTCAAAAAACCTGACGACACTTTATCAACAATCGTCTATTACACATATTTCGTCAAATATAATTAACTTACCAACTCTTCGTCATTTAATGTTGTGCGGGCAACAGATGAAAGTATTGTGTTTCGTTTAGTTGCTGCCATGGTCTGCAAAACAAAGATAACATGCGATAAAACTGTCATATGCTATAATCGTAATAATATTGTTCATACATAATATAAAATAGAGAATTCGGCACTAAAAATCATCGAATCTTAAAAATCTTTTCGAACAATATTTCATTGAAAATTATGTGATCTTTTTGTATAATAGTCTCAGCAAGCGTGTATTTATGTAGAGTCACCTATCCAGTGATTGAAAGCATACCAGTGAATGAAAACACTTTTTAAAATAAAAATTATTAATTGATAACGACATTATTCATGAACGACGAATTTTTATGCTATTCTTGGGTATTATTGCTAACTATTCGAATGGTTATCAGGTCTAGAATCAATATAGTTTAACGATAGGAATTAATTTACGAACGCATCGTTCGCTGAGCCGTAAAATACGGTCATTTTGTACATAATCGCTGAAGATCGTTAAAATTTGGAAGATCCACCGTAAAAGAATGAGCAGCTCGAAACCTTTTATAACGGACTAGTTACATTCAAAACTGTCATTTATATGTTAAACAATGGCATTTCCAGTGAAAAATAAAGTTTTAATTAGAAAATGTCACTCTTTTTCAACTTTCATTTACTGGTGTGGCGAATAGTTTGCACTTGCCCAGTAAATGAAAGTACTAATATAAGCATATTTTGATTATAGTTTTGAACCAATCCTCATCTATGAGGTCTCAAAATGTTTGTAAAATGGTTCATCTCTACTCAAATGAAACAGATTTTTAAAAAAGATCCCTAGCGGAAATTTTTTTTTAAATAAAGTGCATAATAATGTTCTAAACTGTAATAAAAAGTAAAAAAGTGTAAAAAAATATTACTTACGATTTCGGACATGTGATACGTTTTTCTACATTTTTTTACTTTTTATTACAGTTTATTACATTTTTTACCTATAATTAGAGAGATGAAAACCCTAGGGATTCAAGCTCATCAAAGTTACATGGAAAAAGTAAAAAAGTGTAAGAAAACATAAAATTTTGTAATAATAATTTTAAATGTTACAATTTTTACTCATGAGTTTCAAATTCCAATCAAGCCCGCATGTGATAGAATTGACTGTAGCAAGTGATTTTCGTAAAAAAAAAAACTCGCTCTAATGCAGCAGAAAGCCTTATAACATCACCATAGATGTACTGGGGAGTACTGGGATGACTGAATTTGGTTTATATACATATCCATCATAATTTGTCTTAATTTATTCATAAAATTTAATACCTTTTTTTCACGAAAATCACTTGCTGCGGTCGATGCGATCACACGCGGATAGCATATTGAAGAAAATTTAAAAAAGTGTAAAAAAGTGTAAAAAAATGTAATTTCATGCTGCCTTTTTTAATGAATTGGCTGTCCGAAATCGCTAGTAATTTTACTTTTTTTTTTACATTTTATTTCATTTTACAATTAAATATGATGGTTTTAGTTTCTACTTTTACTTTTTCTTGAACGATTTTTTTTCCGTCGGCGCTGTCTGAAAAATCACCAAAACTTGTCCTACAGTATGAAAAATCATAACATAACCTTAAAATACCTTAAATATATCATTTAACACAGGTGCCTTTATTTTAATCATGGCAATATGTCAATGAAAAGGTTAGTTTGGATGATAAATTTATCTTTTAGTTTCTTATTCAATAAAAAAGGTGATATATTACAGTCTATATTGATTATTAAATCAACGTATACTTATATTTGTACATTGATTTACTGGTTTCGCGGCTTTCATTCTCTGGATCGAATGTTTCATTCACTGGTAAAGCGCTTTTTTTTTCATTTTCATGAACATTTATAAATGAAAAACTCAATTGAAAATTCTGTAAAAATTCTAATAGGTAGAGAAAGGTATGAACTTTGACAAACTATTGGTTCCATTACCTAAAATTCACTAAAAACATGCATCCGAGCTGCTTGAATACAGAATTTTTTTAAACCTTTCAATCACTGGTCGAGTGACTCTATATTAGCCTGGACTTAATTAAAAATTTTTTTTCATTAGCGCCGGGTGGAAATCACTTCCTAACACCTTAAAAATTATGTAAAAAATTGAATCAGGCCGTTTGGACCAATCTTTCCCGCCCTGCAGCGCAGTTTAAGTTTTAAATGTATTTTACATGAAAAAGTTATAAAAATATGGAATTTCTTTTTAATACATGTAATCTGATGTATTTTGCTCAATCCAATGAAATCATTAGTTTGACAAAGAAAGTCAAACGAAAAAGTTACATAGAAAAAACCAATAAATAGCTCAAAACATTGGCTAAAAAGCGTGTTATATACCTTTTTGCATCAGGTAATAACTTTATTATTTATAATGAATATTGTTACTGTTGCTGACTGAGAAAGGGGGAGGGACATGAAATAAAGGTACAATGCTCGAGTGAGTTCCACACACAAGACTTTATTACAATTGTAAGAACTTGATACTATTGAAACAGAGCTTACAAGACACTTCGGCAGATGACAGTTGATCTTTGAGGCTGATGGCCTGTCGGTCGTCTGGTCGCTGCGGCTAGGCTGCTGCTAGGGTGTCGCTTGGCTGCTGCTTGGCTGGTGGTAGCGGCGGCTTAGCTGCTGCTTGTCCGACGGGTAGAAGGCTGGTGAAAGCTCGAATGCACTCGCACGAGCTTTATTGTTCGTGTTTAAACAATGAGGTGGTTCGGCACTCACGACTGTATGACTACAGATACAATCAAGGATTCCGATTTCGGAAGCGTTCTGCTACAAACGTGCGTAGCTGTGTCTCTTGCCAGTTGTATTGTTAGTGTCAGAGTTCTGTGTTTTTTGGTGTAAACCGCTACACCATACGCGTGCAGTGTGGTGCCGCACCAGCCTGTGAGTGCTCCCAGCAGTTCCAGTGCAGCCGAATAGCCGAAAATCGCCTTTTTACCTGATCGCTGGCCAGCGACAGCTGAGGCGATTTTTCCGACGTTCGGCCTATCGGTGTGTGGCGTGCGCTAGTGTGTGGCAGTCGATCGCCGATAGACTGACCAGTAATGCTCACACGATCCCCGCCCAGCCTGCGGCGACAAGCATGACGGCCATGTCGGTCGGGCTGGTGGACCTCCAGGCGCTCTCCAAGAGCAATGACCCGCTGCAAAACACCCCGATGTCGACGTGGCTGCGCTCCTCGCAGCCGTCGTCTTCGGCAACGGTGGTGCCGCCGCTCCCAGTGTCGGCCATCACCAAAAGGATAGTGGAGGCTCCTCAAATGGTCAAGGACGCCTTGATTCCGTCCCTGCAGGAGTTCTCCACCGGAAGCATGGGTGAGAAGTTGGACAGGCTGGAGGGCTTCATGCAGGGCCTCGCTGTCTACGTCAAGGAGAAGAGAAAACCTGCGATACAGCTGCAGAGATTCTCCTCCTGCCTCACCCGGGAGGCCGTGATGGTTGCCTCCACTCCGTCCTCGAAGAGGAAGAAGCGACCCGCAGCATCACCGCGGAGAAGCGTGCCACTGGACCTCATCCGCACTAACAGGTCGTCAACGGCAACAACAACGCCGTTCGCAACGAGGAGACCTTCACGGTCGTGAAAGGTCGACGTGGCCGGCTCCGTGACGCTCACCAGGCTGAGGGAGTCGAACGTGGCCCACAGCCCCCAAGGCCGCGGCAGCGTAGAGTCCGCCTGAGGCCTGACGCCATAGTCATCAAGGCTGCCGGGACAACGACGTATGCCGACATCCTACGGAGGCTGTACGTGGAGTCGGCAATCCAGGAGACAGTAGGCAAGGCTGTACAAAGCATCAGAAGTAGCGCATCCGGCGCCATGGTGCTGCAGCTGAGGAAGGGCGTGCAAAATGCGTCTACCTTAAGCATGGAGCTCGATGGCGTCCTGGGAGACGCCGCCACTGCTAGCGCCCTTAGCCATAAGACCGCGCTCGAGATCAGGGACCTCGATGAGTACGCCACCAGGGAGGAGATCTGCGCGGCACTCTGTCACCAGATAGGCGTGGCCAACCTGGACTCAGACGTCATGCGATCCCTGTGGAAGGCGTACGCCAGCACGCAGACCGCAGTCATCGACCTACCCGACGAGCTCCTGGCCAAGGCGATCAGGCTTGGTCTTCTGAGAGTTGGTTGGGTCAGCTGCTGTGTGCGCGAGTGCGCTGAGGCCTCACGGTGCTTCCATTGTTGGGAGTTCGACCACGTCACTGCACGCTATGTAGGTCCCGACCGTTCGAAGCTCTGCCATCGATGTGACCAGGACGGACACCGATCCAAGACCTGCCACGGTCCAGATGTCGGCGGCCACTATCAGCCCTAGCTGTCCTATGGCCAAGAAGTTTCTTAGCAGCCGACGATGAGGATTTTACAACTTAACCTCAATCACTGCAGGTCAGCCCAAAACCTCTTGAGCCAGACGGTGCGAGAGCTCGACATCAACGTGGCCATCGTGTGTGACCAATACAAAGACCCTGGTCCACACTACACGTGGATAGCCGACTCAAACAAGCAAGCTGCCATCTGGGTCCGCGGTCCCTTCTTCACGTGGGCCCGAGTCAGCGACGTGTACATTTTTAGTGTATACGCCCCTCCGAGGCTCTCCACTGCAGAATTTTCTGCTCTGCTGGCCAACGTAGTGAAGGAGGCCCAGGGCAAGAGGCCCCTCATCGTAGCAGGCGATTTCAATGCCCGGTCGACGGAGTGGGGCAGCAGTGAGACGGAACCTCGTGGCGTCATTCTTTTCGCGGCGCTCTCTGCTCTAGACATCGTTTTGCTGAACACCGGACACACGCCAACATTCACTGGTCCTCAAGGCAGCTCCATCATCGACCTCTCCTTTGCCAGTGACTCGCTCATTCCCAGAGTGGTGGGGAGGCGTGTGGAGAGGGAAGTCTTCACCAACAGCGACCACCAAGCCATCACCTTCAATCTGAGCGTGCTCAGACCTCTCAGGACCGTGGCGGGCCCAAGATGCAGATGGAGCGCCCGCACGCTTGATGAGGAGACCTTCTCCGAGCGGCTGTTCGGTGTGAGGATCTCGCA